GACAACACTCAGTAAAGAAAATCAATCAACTAATGTTAGCCTAAAAAAAAACAAAAAACATATTTTACTGAATTCAATAGAAACTTATGAAATTTCCATTCAATAAAAATGTGACAAGGAACACTTCATGAATCTCAATGCACTAGATGATTTGGTAGTGTTATTATTTGTTCATTTTGGGCAACTTTAAACCATTTCACCTAGGCAAGTTGCTTTCATTTAATTTCCTCTCTGCAGAAACAACAGAGTCTGTATCTCTGTAGAAATAATTGTTGTTATCCTTCAGAGTTTTTGAAACAAACAACATCATCCTTCTGAATTACTGTCTTCTCTTGACAATCTTTGCATTGCTCTAAACTAATATCTTACAGACAGATTCTGAATAATGCAGAATGATAAAACTGGCAGAAGGCAAAAAGTCATGATTTCTTAAATGAGATTTAAGCTGTCGGATGTTGTCAATGGTTGTCATTCTCTTAATATTACAGCAAACTATTACAAGCTATTTCATGTTTTCCAGATTTATACACGATTAAAAGAGAGCTTTTTTTCTTAAATAACATATACAGGTGAAACTCGAATAATTAGAATATCGTGCAAAAGTAATTGCAGTAAGTGCTGCAAAAGGGGCCCAAACCAAGTACTGAGTACATATGCATGCTTGCACTTTTCAGAGGTCCGATATTGTTCTATGTACAATCCTTGTTTTATTGATTGCATGTAATAATCTACTTTTTTGAGGTTGTGGATTTGGGGTTCTTGGGGTTTTCATGAGCTGTAAGCCATAATCATCACAATTATGACAAATCACGGCTTGAATTATCTTGCTTTGCATGTAATGAGTCTATCTCATATATTAGTTTCACCTTTTAAGTTGCATTAGTGAAATACATGAACTTTGCACAATATTCTAATTATTCGAGTTTCACCTGTATAATCACTGTACTAGCCAATTTCCTATATTTAATGTTATTAAAATTTGCTTTTGCATTTCAGTCTGCAGCCAGCCATTCAGATTTCTTTGCATTTACAGCAACAACAATGTTTTCAGACAGGGATTTGTAGAATACCCATAGTCCTACTCCTAATATTGGCTCACTGTCTCTACTATCATTCTGTGGGGTTATGCTTACTCAAAGCAATAACCTTTTGGATTCCATATCACTGTTGTTTCCACTGTGCTTTTCTTTCATTCCCAAGCTAGCTCTTTTACCTCATCACTTTTGCTCTAAAATGATATGATTTATGCTTTTTTAGTCCATCTCACTTTCCACTCTCAAACAGAAACACAACCTTTTTATACAATCTTTTCTTT